TTAGAAGTTTTAAACATAATATTAAACCACACCACACAAACACCCAGGGAGAAACTCAACCTCTGTGACATCCACTTTCCTTACGAAGTTCCTTTATCTGGGTTTGTGACCTACAGAAAGGTCAGCGGTTATACACAAAAGCCTTTCTGTCACTAGAATTGCCCCTTTAGCGACGTCATGGGTTTTCGGAGCAGAGACAAGTTTCTGACATTTTCAACACCAAACATGTCGTTAATGTGTTTAGTGAACTACAGCAATCTTAAAGCCTCCACATTATTTATATCACACTTTATCAGTAGAAAAATGGAGGAAATTTCTTTTTTAATGCAGTATTTTCTGATTTATGGCGCAACACAAAGATATTTCGCTCTGTGCAAACCTTTGACTCTAATATGTCAACAACATGAAACAAGAATATGAACCTGGCTTTATCCAATGTTCACACAAGAGTTCTACATCCTGACACATCCTTCATCTACTGTATCAACTGAAAGAGGACCAGAAACACATTAAAAATATAATAAAATGTGGAGACTTTGGGATATTTATCTCCCATTCTTTTACTTTTCTGGCATTTTACAGACCAGACATGTCGTTGATGTCACTGTTTACAAAACTACCACTTTTTCTGAAAAATGCATAAAATGATGCAATATATGTTAAATACATGGTTTATACATGTAATTACTGGGGTTCAATTTCTTCTGATTAACTCATTTGGGCGTGCACATTTGCCGCGCGCAAACCTACCTCTTTTGGATTTGGAAAGGTTGGCATGTATGCATGAGTCTGCTCGACCTGCTGGAGTCTTTGTAGTCCATATGTGACCTGCTCCATTGAAATCAGTCGCATTGACCCGAAGACACATTTTGAGTTGTATACAATGTTGGAAAGAGGATATTCCTAGCTTTCTAATGATATCAGGATTGTTTTTGTACTCCAAATATTAAGCAAAATGTCACATTATATTATGACTGTCACCGAGTCATCATTTTGAGAAAAACACCTTAAAAGTTTCCTCTTCTCTGGAATCCATCGATCTGATTGATTATTAGCGGAGCAAATGATCAAAATACTACAGAGGGAAGATATTTTCGTTTGGATTACTTGTCTGGGGGAAGCTTCCGAGTGTGTGTGTATACGTTTGTTTGTGTAATTTAGCATTTGTGTGTATTGTGTTTGTTTCCCGGGGAAAACGAGAAACACCAGCTGTTGTTATGCCTGCTGTGACATTAAGTTACTCCGTTCTCCACTTGTAATTATGCCGTTACAAGCTTGAAAGTTGTATTTATCAGCCAATACTTTGTTTATTTGAAGTCAGATGAAAACAAACTGTAACGGACCCTGCCGTGTTATCTATGATTACTATACGCCTTACATTCATAATTTCAGCCGGAGGGAGGGGGATTTAGCAACATGTAGTTCTCCATGTCCACTTGTTGCTGATGGTTGTGGTAGAGGAGCTGTAGATTTGGGTGAGCAGCAGAGGTGGGGAGAGGCAGGGCTCTGGCTGTTTCGGCGGCCTCTGTTTCTCTTTTTCTCCCTCCCCGAGGCGAGCGTGTGCTCCTGCTGTAAAAAGCAGGTGCACCGCACCCACTGCTACTAACTCTGAGCCTGGCTCCCGAGCAGGACGTTCAATCTCCCCTGTAGTCCACCAGCAGAAGAAAAACACCCAGCTCTCCGCCTCTTCCAAGGGACAAGGGAACCGTGCGGCAGAGTTTCCTTTTTAGATTTTGTTTTCGCTGTTCAACATGTCTGTCGAAGTTTAAATCTTCTTCCAACAAGAATGGCACATATGGACTGCAGGGCAACCCAAAAAACGTAAACCCTCCGGCCAGCAGGGAGGCATAAAAAAGTTGAAAGAGAGCACTTTTGGCTACTGAGCCAAGAAGGTGTTTCCCCCCGGGACATTTTGTCAGTCAGTGCACTCCACACAAACTGACAGCAGCAGATTCTCTGTGGTTTGGTAAGTGGTGATGGAGTAGTCTTTCTGCAATATGTGAACTCAATAAAAAGCCTAAAAGGTACCTCAGTGAACGGCCAAATGTTGTGTCACGGTAAATGTTGCGGCCGCAAGGTATTATGGGACAGCTTTTTCGCCTTTCCTTTGGTAAAGGAAGTTCCAGTGTTTCCTAAACTAAAGGAGAATATAAAGGAATTTCAAAGCTCCTTTCCTATCATCTAGAGAATTCGAACAGCTCTTATCATGGCTGACACTGAGGTACTTCCTGGTCATTTCATTCGTTAGGAACCTTCTTAAGCTAAACTGACAATTAAAATGCAACAACCTTAGCTTAGAAGAATTACTAATGAATCACTAACCCACCCCATAGGCAGCATGGTTGTGTCAATCAGCCTACAAGTTCTTGTTGATAAAGTTATATGACATGTCCAACGCTATTCACAAACTTCAATTAATAAGGGTTCAAATTGCAGAATATTCCAATACACAGGCATCTATTTACAAAAATGATCCTGCTTCAGCCAAAATCATACCCAATCCTTGCTAAAATAAATTGTACTCAATGCAAAGTTCTATGAGAAATAGATATTTTTATTTAAAAGTGAACATGACATCAGCTGTCAGGGATCAGTTTAATTTCCTGTCAGCTCATTTAGAGTAGCAGGGTGTAAACAAAGACATGTTTATGGAATACATGCAAGAAGCTAGAAACTGCTCCTTGCCAAGAGTTTTTCAAATGTATTTTAATGTGGTGGTCAAATTTGAAATTGGAGGTCATTCGGAGCCTCAGACTCATCTGCAAAAACAGTTTCTCTCAGAATAACCTCCCAGACTTCATAGCATGTACTTTCCTGGATTAAAAACTCTTATTTACCGTCGTTTAAATGAAGCTTACATGATGTAGACTGAATATTTTGTAAGGCCTGTTCAGGTCTGGTTGTTTCCATTTCTAATGTAAAGCCCTTTTCCCTTCTGATAAAAAACCCTTTAACGTCCAGCTCTTGTATTCAGTGGGAAATGTCATAATCGGTAGGTTGAAGCAAATGTTCACAATGGTCAAATGGTGGTACTGCTTCTGTGTCAGTCTTTGACGTCATTGGGACAAACAATTCTCATTGACTTACCTTGTGAAAGAAACGTCTGTAAATCAGTGTTTGGGATTTGTTTTGGGTAAATGGACTGCCCACTTGAATATACATTAACTAAATCAATAGTTCCTAAAGGTTGTGTAACAAGCAAAAAAAATGAGTTATTTTCCCTCTCCAATCATTTGCCTGAGCCATGGAGCTTTGGATAGGAGGCGGGGCTCAAAGAAAACACAAGTGAGCGTGCTTTTTTGGTTCAGATACGGGCACAACATTTTGGCTTCATAAGCTACTGAATAACTTTCATAGGATGGAACGGGGACCTGCCTCCAAAACTGTATCAACTTGTCTTTATACATCCATGATTGGTAATGTTTTTAGTTTTCTTCAGTAAAAGTGTAATATGATACAAGCTTGACTTAAGAAGGGATTGTGATTTTCTTATTGATGTCTGCATCATCGATTTAAACAGTCTCGGTTTCTACCCGTCCCGTTTCCAAAACACCATATTAGAGGCGGCACTAGGAATAACCATAGCATAAGTCATGTGGTTTCAAATTAAATCACATAAGAGCGGATGTAGCCTTAGGTGTAACTTTACATGAGCGTAATCTTTTCTCTTCTCTTGGTTTTAACCTCTTGTGGTTTTGCTCTGGCTTGGACAGATGTTGTTTGAAGAATATACATTTCAAGCCTTTTTTAACCTTGACCAAATACTGCTAAATTGAGCCAGATACAGATGTAGCACTCCAGATAGGACTCACATGGGTGTTTCCCAGTCAAAAGCCCAGCGGATCCCAGTGGCTGGGGGCGTTGCCAATTTCCCCCCTTTGTTCAATTACAGGATTTAACCATGAGATGGCGCTTCATTCACAAATACACAAAAACAACTGGGTGTTGTAGAACTTAGTCTGTTTGCAATGTTTGCAGCTCTGCAGTTGTGTTTGCTGAATACTGTAGCATTTAATCACTTATTTGTTATGGTTTACGCAGGCTACTATAATGAAAAAACATCAATGTTTTAGATCAAATAAAGTATATAGTTTGCTTTATGCAGTATATTTTTTGTAATATTGTTGGGGTGCTTTGACACAGTAGTGAGAGTGAAAAACAGGATAGCAAAGATTAATAAAATCAAAAATAAGATGAGCGATAAAAATAAAAATAATAATAATGAGAAACTATAAAATAAGAAATGAATAAAACTAAAATATAATTATCATATCATATATTCTAATGTATTGTATTATTAAGTAATATATACATTAACCCCATTATAGCAGATGCCACATTGAATGGATGAACACATGTATGCATCAATAAGTACAACAGAGTATTTGTAAATACAAGTTGTAACAATACTTATATGTATGTAATATTAACCCTTTGGAGTCGACCGTCACGCCGGCGTGATCAGATCACATGACCTGTTCAAGCCGGTGCCGCATAAAAACAACAGTCAGGACAACATTGCCGTGTGTTTCTGTCGAAAGTACTGGCTTGAAACGATATGCCAGTCTTTGTTTCATGCAAAAAGACCCAGTAAACACGGAGATACGATGATATAAAGTTAATACATTTCAAAAGTATGAGAAATGGAAGCACATATTTGAATATCTTCGCCGTATTTTATCATTTTACGAAACGGAAAATACTGGAAACTGTAGATCCTGCTCAACAGGATGTATTTACCAGGGAAGGGGTGAGGTAATCAGGTAAACGGAGTGATAGCGAGACAAAGCGAGACGAAAAGAGACGAAGAGGGACGGCGGGAACCGAAGAGAGACGGCAGGAAATGGAGAGAGACGAAGATATACATATTATTGTACATAATGTGTATATATAATAACATAATGATTAATTTCAGATGATAATACTTTTCAGGGTTAGGTCCGGTCTGACAGCGCTTAGCTCTCTGCTGCAGAGAAGATCACTGCTCTAAACAAAGTCAAAAATCCTACATCCAAACGGAATAAATATAATAAATTATTATTAATACGTTAAGTCTTGTTCATTGTTTTTCACTTTTATTAAATGTTTGATATTTACGGTGGAAATGGTGGACTATCGGACAGCACACATTCATATATTGTCACTCACACATTCATGCATTTTGTTCTCATATTCATATATTTTAATGCTCATATTTATACATTTTGCTCTCATGCAGATTCATTCAATGTTTACATTTAATATTAAGACAATGAAGACAATATATGTATGCAAGAGAAGAATGGCTTATTATATTTACAGCTCTTAATAACATTCATTTTCTGGACTCAATAGGCTTGTTTGAGACAAGCAGACCTGCGCAGTTGCGATCAACGTCTCGCTAGTGCGTTGCATGATGGTTAGTAATTTTGTCCGACTTGCTCTGGAGGCTCGCCTACATGAGACGTTGAAATCTCGCGGGACAAAGACGCCCGCAGCCTTGAGAGCGAGGTGCGGCGAGGCGGCGCAGTTCCACTCCACGGGCTGCGGAAGCAAAATGCTTGATGGGAAACGACTCGCTGGTATCTCGAGCTGAGCGCTCATTGGTGGTTTTTACCACGTGCTGATGATGAAACTCTCCAATTGGCTCGGCAAAAGTTTGTTGTTGTTTTGTGTCAGTTTTACGTCGCCCCTTCCATTAACATTTTTTATCATCATGAAATTAATATCTATATATTTTATACTATACTTGCACTGCTTACCGTTTTCATACTTTATATATCTTGGCATATTCATACACACTATTCATACTGCTCACAGGCTGCTGTGTATATTCATACCCCTCACTGTTTATTCATCATTTAATTCATTCTATATTTTATTCTGTAGATTGTGTACATTACTTTTCACTTTACTGCTTGTTGCACTCCTGGTTGGAAGCTAAACTGCATTTCGTTGTCTCAGTACCTGTAATATGTGCAATAACAATAGAGTTGAATCTAATCTTGTGCAGGAACAAATGTATTTACTTAGTACATATCTGACATTAACGATTAAACGTGTGTGCATTCTTTATAAATGCAAACCTAGTTAAGCCGACTCCGGAGGTGGCGGTATGCACCTTAAAGTTGTTTGCAATCCGCCAAAAAAACGAGAGAAGAAGAAGAAGAAGAAGAAGAAGAAGAAGAAGAAGAAGAAGAAGAAGAAGAAGAAGAAGAAGACTCAGAGCTGTCCGACTTCAGGCGATCTTTTTGAGACCTCCCCCGGCTGCGATCGGCTATTCTCGTCTACTTTNATGTACTTTATCTACTACAAGTAGTTTGTTTGAATGTAATAATTATGTTGTTGTTTGTGGAATCATTTATTGAGAAATGAATCTGAATTTTTCGATCTGTTACGATTACAATCTGAAGCAATATAAAAATCACTCCCATTAACTGAGTTTTAAACATCAGCATATCTGGTCATAGTCTGGTAATTACCTGCTAACGGAAACTCTGCTACACAATTCTTATTATTATTATTGAAACATGACCGGTAAGTTTAAAATTTGTCCGCTAAAATATATTCTGTCCGGACATTTGACCGGCGAGAAAAAATCCTAGCGGAAACCCTGAACCACGTATATCTAAGTCGTCTCCGATAGCTAGCTCCGATGCTGATAAGGCACCGGAAAACGGCTGTTCTATCTTTAACTAACCCCCCAAAATATACACACAAGATCAACGTAATCTGCTTAGGGAGGCAACTAACAGCGTGGCTTCTAACACCAGCTTCTCGTCGTATTACTTATTTCAGGCACTAAAACGTTGCATGTCCGACCGCCAGGATATCAAACGGAGTGTGTAGTGCAGTAGGTGTTGGTAGGCTGGTAGAGCCCCAGAGCAGGATCTCAACCTGGAGGAGAAACCCTGTGTCGTTGGGAGACTCCCTGGTTTAGGGCAGCTTCAGGACCCACAATCCCTAAACCCCTCTTTTGAACCCTAATTATGCCAATTATAATAATGTAAAATCAAGCATAGCCAGAGTCAAACACTGATATCACAGCTGTGATATTACAACACAAGCAAAGCACATATTTCAGCATCAATCAAAACCACATCAACCACAGTCACCAATATGAAACTACAGCTTAACTTTAGCAGGGTTTCTATTTCCCTTGAACAATTTGAAGTCCAAATTATCAAACTTCTGTCAACCTTTTCCAAGGAAGGGTGTTCTTACCTTACTCGAAGACCAAGCAGATACCTTTAGAGACCACCAGAGAGACCAGGAATTGGGTCGAAGTGTACAAAGCACAAACCGGTTTTATTGGGTTTTTACACAAATAGAGGATTACAAGATACAAAAATGCAAAAGAAAACTGTAAAGGTTTTACAAAGACACAAGGTCAAAGTACGAAAGCATAGGCTCCCAAGATAACCCCGAAAAATCTCCAACCTAAGGCCCAGGGCCCAAAAGCCAAGACCCAAAAAGCCTAAAAAGACCCCATTTCTCTTCACTCATCATCTGTTATAGTCTCTTCCCTCCTCCCTCTCTGCATCAGGTAGTTTCCCCTTTCCTATCTTTGAGTGAGAAGGAGGTCACATAGGTTCAACTCTTACTTAATGAATAATTAAAATGTCGAGTTAAAATTAAACAAATGAAGACTATAGTAATGATATGCAATTTTAATAAAAGTGAATAATAACATTTTTCATGAAAGTTACTTAGATTTATTTTAACTTCAATTTAAAATATGCAAACTTTATACTTTAATTTATTAACAGAAACAAACTTAACAAAACTGTCTCTATTGTCTCTAAGATTTTGTTGGTCCAGGATGTTGGTTAAAGTCTTAACGCAGTTCACCTGCATCCTGTGCGCATTGTCTTGGTGTAGTAATTCTAGAACCCCGAAGGCAGGAGAGACTGAAAAGAGTGAAGGGAAGCTTATAAAAGTTAACAGCATTTAATTACACAAAAGATGCGGTGGTGTACAAATGAAATTTGCAAGCGGAGACACTCTCCCCATCTGTTGGTCAGGTCAGGAGAGGAAGAGATCGATTCTTGGCTTGTCCTTCCTGTTGTCATCTGAGGTCTTCTCCTATTGGCCGGCGTCGTGGGGGGCAGGTCCAATGTAATTCCTGCCTTTTTCTGTTGCTAAATTACATAATTCTGGTGTCTGTGGTTATTTAAACATTCCTTAATAAACGCGATTTCAGCGTCAATAAATGAGTGTTAAACCCTGTGTGTTTAGGGTACAACATCACGCCATTTCACCTTCAATTCACGGTTTGAAAACGTAGCATTTCGCCACATGCTAATGATAACCGGAAATGAAGAATTTTCAATAAATAGAATAAAACTGATTTAAATTAAATACAGTGTATTTAATTCAAAATTACGCCATATCAACATTGATTTTCATTTCTAACATTGGTCAACCGTTGTAACCACTCTCAAGATGTCAAAAACCACAAGGCCGTCCTAGAATTTTGGTGGAAACTTTATGCTTTGCTTCCACATTCTAAAATGCACAATCAGCATAGGTCAAAAGTTCAAGATGTTCTCTCTGGTTTCATATGTCTAGTAAGACATTATTGAGAAATGCTTCCTTTCCATCAAACCAAACTAAAGCCAATTTTAGTATTTTTTTATTATTATTATCAAAGTTTAATAGGGGTAGTAGATGTAGGTGAGGTCTGTCACGGCCATTTAAACAGCAGATCTGTCAACAGCATACAAACAAAAAATGAAGTCCAAAAGGCAATAACTAAACTCAATAAAGTTAAGCTATGTAATAGAAGAAAACAAAACTACCTCTCTGCAATCACCTTGTGTGGAAGAATGTTTCCTTAAGCCCTCACTTATTAGAAAAATGTTTACTTTCACAGGTTTTTGATATACCACACTGGATATTTGAGGGCCTCGACCAGCTAAATTACGTACAAGGTAGGAAATGGTATTACATTAAACAATTTAAAGAAAGCTCTTCTTCCTCTCTGCATTTAAGATCTTATTTTTATAAAGTACATTTTGTGACATCTCTTTCTTAAATTTGTCTACAGTGATGGAGAGACTTAGTCTGTATCACACTGTCTTAAGGATCGACGGTGAGTGATAAAATAACATCTTAGTCTTTAATAATAATACATTGAATTCATTACTTTAATTTGGCTTTTGCATTTTGTCTGTATTTATGTCTGTGCAGTTCCTGAGCGTGAAACATACAGCAAACTCAAACAAAACGAGATCTTTCCTCAGCTCGGTGAGTAATACCGAAGAGATTAAGTCTTGCCATGAACAAGAAGTGCAATCTGTGTTTCTGATGTTTCTTTACCTCATCTTTGCAGGCAGTCACTTCCTGGTCATTTACCCCAGCTGTACCAAAGAGGTTCCTCTCACAAGAAAGGGATATGTGTGTCTGCTTTGTGAGAGGAGGTTGTTCGGTGATGAATGTTACGCTCATGTGTTCAGTTTTGACCATGTGGAAACATTTCTAGTAAGTATCTTTCGTCAAACTTCTTCCTGCATTATTTGTCTTAATGTTGATTGCTTGGTGCTCTTATCGTTGCCAAGTACTTGCCATTTTTCGGATCGATAGGCAAAGTCATGACGGGTCAAATACAAGCATTGTGTCTGCAACCAGTTCAATTGTTAAACTGATTTTTCTTTTTTTTTGGATTGTTTAAATTGGGGTTTGCCATACAACAACAATGCTGGAAACATTTTTTTTATTTCATGCGCTGTAAACCACTCAGCTACTGAGGGGTCAATCATTCCATTCTGCCTCATCCAGACCACATCATAAACAAAAAGATAATATAAATATAAGATAACTTACTTGTGTGTCCACATTTACATGTTGTCAAACATGTGTAGCAAGAGAATGACTAAACTAAACATGTGTGTATATGCACATTGTGTGTCTGTGTGTGTAGGAGAGTTTCCATCCAGGCTCCACGGATTCGAGCACTGATGCAGAGACGTTGATGGACTTGGCAAAACAGGCGGGGCGCATTCACCCCATATCATGTGTACAGGTAGTCTATACAGGAAATGTAATTTCTGCGTGAAGAACTACTCTAGCCTTTCACTTATTCTCTTGTCTCCATATTCTCTGCCTTTTTAAAGGTTATATGTATGGAGAGGCCAATCTGGGATTCGTGCTCTTACTCTACCAGTGAGTATTTTTAGTGCAAACTCTGTTGCAAATTGGCATCTGTGACTGTGATTTATTTTAACAAATATTACTCTATTTTATTCCAGCATTAAAACTCCTGGCAGGTAGAAAGTGGACCGTTTGTCAAGCAGTGCTTACAGCCCCAATTATACCTGGAAAGAAGCTGAGTAAGTCTAGCCAAATAAAAATGTTGAGTCATGGCACTGTTTTGAGTTCAATATCACCCTAGTACCTGTAGCGCTATGAAAACATTATCTTTGCAGTATTTGAGGTCTGGGTTCCGATGTTTTTTTCTTTTCATATTTTATTGGTTAGAGTTGAAAAATAAATCTTGAGACCATTTTGCTTCTTAGAAAACCGCCAATAATAATCTTTTCACCTCATTCACTTTGTTTTAATTTGACAGTTTAGTTATATCGAGTGGATACTGGATTAAAACAAAGTCAATAATTCTAATCAAATGCGTACTTGATGTCATGTATGTTTTGTTTTTAAGTCCCCAGAGAATCTCTGAAAGCTGTGGCCACAAAACAAGTGACAGACAGCAGCCAGAAGAATGGAAGGATGATGGGGTGTTGTGAGAACACAACAAGTGAAAAGTCTACAGACCAGAATGAGATGACCCTGAAAACGATCCCAGTAGAAGTTGGTTCTGAAATCACCAATACACTATTTGCAAAAAATGGACAAAGTGTGGAAAAGGGAAACAAGGACATTCCTACACCAAGTGAAAAAGAATCAAAGAAGAGAAAAGTGTTTTCAAGAGATGATTTGGAGGAGATAAAGACTGACGGTAGTGAGACATGCCAGAAACCAAGTAGGGAGACTCCAGAAACCTGCAAAAAAACAGACAAAAATGATGAAACGGAGAGGGTAAAAGAGAGGAACAAAAGTGGCAAAGAAATCCTGAAACGGAAGAGGATAATCTCACAGGAGGATCCTTGTCCTGTTCAGGATGTGAAGCAAGTAAAGAAACAGAAAAAAGGAATCCTCTCCTCCAAAAAAGACTCGTCAGAATCTCAAATGCAGGTTACTGCCACAAACCGGGGAGAAAGTGGCAAACCAGGTCAGGGGCCAGCAAACGATGAAAGTATGTTAATGCTGTATTTTGGTTTGTGTAAGATTTACCTCAGTGTTTTTAATAAAATATCTCGGTCCGTGGTTGTTATAGGGTCTTCAAACGTGAACTGCCAACAAAAAAAACAGCTGTGGCAGTTTCTCAAAAAGAAGACTCGACACACTGTGATTGGTCAGTGCCTTTTTAAAAACATTTAAAGAGATTGCTTTTTAATGATGGAGGAAATTGAGAGAGAAAGCACTTTTAACTATATACTTTTTGATACAATTTGTTTACATTTACCTGATCATTCAATAAGAACATATGTTAAAGGTGAACAATGTATCTTCTAGGCCTGAGTGGACTTGTTGAACTCCAATGTGATGAGCGTGACCCCATCTACCTGTGTGACTGCTGCTCTCTGAAGATCCCCGAGAAGGAAATCATCAGCCATGTTTCTGGAATCTACCACCAGAAGTTGTATCTGATGGTGAGTAAATGTTTAAACACTTTATGGGACGGTCTTGTATGCTATGTGTCATTCTTAAAATCCAGCCAGTCAAATTCTCATTATGTACATAAATGCATACAAAGTTAGATGAATTGATTGGGCACTTCAAGAGGCTAGTTATTTTCCCTCAGGATTTCACCTTTTCCTAATATCAGTTTTTTTATATGTGCATATACCATGTGAATATTGCTCTAATTGCCCCTGTGGGTTCATCTAGAGAGGGTGTGGCTGTGCTGTCTTGATTGCCTTGATTGCAGTAACTCAGGGCACCTGGGTCTGGTGCCCTGCAGCTATTTTAGGCCCCGGCCCCACGAGGACGCATACGGCTAAACGCATAGGATTAACGCAAACGCAATTGCAAAAAAGCTTCCGTCCACACGCAATATTCACCGGATAGTGTCTGTCCACACGAGACAGCTCCGTTTAGCTCCAACCGCTGGAGAAGCTGCAGTACATATGCAGGAGCCTGTACAGGCTCCTGCATATGTACTGCAGCTTCTCCAGCGGTTGGAGCTAAACGGAGCTGTCTCGTGTGGACAGACACTATCCGGTGAATATTGCGTGTGGACGGANACTTTATTGTTATTGCACATATTACAGATACTGAGACAACGAAATGCAGTTTAAATTCTAACCAGGAGTGCAACAAGCAGTAAAGTGATAAGAATAAAAGATAGAATTAATTGAATGATGAACAAACAGTGAGGGGTATGAATACACTAGATATACACAGCAGCCTGTGAGCAGTATGAACAGTGTGCATTAATATGCTAAGATATATAAAGTATGAAAACGGGAAGCAGTGCAAGTATAGTATAAAAATATATAGATATTAATTTCATGATGATAAACATTGTGGAATAAACAAATGACCAGATCGTTCACCAGCCACCCACCCCCCATGTTGATGTGAACTCTTTGTTTAAAACGAATTGGCCATCGGAATGTGTGGAGGAATTCCCCCAAGGGGGATGGTCGCATTCCACAGCTCTCCCCCCCAGCCAAGACACACATTGAGTCCAGAAAATGAATGTTATTAAGAGCTGTAAATATAATAAGCCATTCTTCTCTTGCATACATATATTGTCTTCAGACATGCATATATTATGTTTAATATTAAATGTAAACATTGAATGAATCTGCATGAGAGCAAAATGTATAAATATGAGCATAAAAATATATGAATATGAGAACAAAATGCATGAATGTGTGAGTGACAATATATGAATGTGTGCTGTCCGATAGTCCACAATTTCCACCGGAAATATCAAACATTTAATAAAAGTGAAAAACAATGAACAAGACTTAACCTATTAATAATAATTTATTATATTTATTCCGTTTGGATGTAGGATTTTTGACTTTGTTTAGAGCAGTGATCTTCTCTGCAGCAGAGAGCCAAGCGCTGTCAGACCGGACCTAACCCTGAAAAGTATTATCATCTGAAATTAATCATTATGTTATTATATACACATTATGTACAATAATATGTATATCTTCGTCTCTCTCCATTTCCTGCCGTCTCTCTTCGGTTCCCGCCGTCCCTCTTCGTCTCTTTTCGTTTCGCTTCGTATCACTCCGTTTACCTGATTACCTCACCCCTTCCCTGGTAAATACATCCTGTTGAGCAGGATCTACAGTTTCCAGTATTTTCCGTTTCGTAAAATGATAAAATACGGCGAAGATATTAAAATATGTGCTTCCATTTCTCATACTTTTGAAATGTATTAACTTTATATCATCGTATCTCCGTGTTTACTGGGTCTTTTTGCATGAAACAAAGATGGCATATCGTTTTCAAGCCAGTACGTTCGACAGAACACACGGCCAATGTTGTCCTGACTGTGGTCTTTATGCGGCACGGGCTTGAACATCATGTGATCTGATCACACGTCCTGATCACGCCGGCGTGTGACGGTCGACTCCAAAGGGGTTTTTTATTACGGTCAGCAGTATAGAGTATTGTTAAACTTTTTTAGACCAATGATGTGCTTGTATTATGACTGCATAAAGGTGTTCGTGCGCAGTCGAGTGGGCGATGTGCTTGATGTGGTGTGTTGTGCGTGGTAGGTTACTTGCGAAGTGAGAATTTTCCATATAGTATATAGTATATGATGATGTATTATNGTTCCACAATGTTTATCATCATGAAATTAATATCTATATATTTTATACTATACTTGCACTGCTTCCCGTTTTCATACTTTATATATCTTAGCATATTCATACACACTGTTCATACTGCTCACAGGCTGCTGTGTATATCTAGTGTATTCATACCCCTCACTGTTTGTTCATCATTCAATTCATTCTATCTTTTATTCTGTAGATTGTGTACATTACTTTTCACTTTACTGCTTGTTGCACTCCTGGTTAGAAAATAAACTGCATTTCGTTGTCTCAGTATCTGTAATATGTGCAATAACAATAAAGTTGAATCTAATCTTGAGCAGGAACAAATGTATTTACTTAGTACATATCTGACATTAACGATTAAACACATGTGTGCATTCTATATATGCAAACCGAGTCAAGCCGACTCCGGAGGTGGCGGCATGCACCTTAAAGTTGTTTGCAATCCGCCAAAAAACTGAGAGAAGAAGCCGAAGCCGACTCGGAGCTGTCCGACTTCAGGCGATCTTTTTGAGACCTCCCCCGGCTGCGATCGGCTATTCTCGTCTACTTTCGAGGCGAGCCGCAACGCGTCTCAAACAAGCCTAGTGTATGTCCACACGAGACAGCTCCGTTTAGCTCCAACCGCTGGATAAGCTGCAGTACATATGCAGGAGCCTGTACGTGGCGCTGTAACTTCCTCCACAAAAGCAGCGAAAAGGCATGGTTGTCATGGTTGCCCGTGGGGGCCGAGGGAACCTGGCAGAGTTTTTCGCCAGTCAACGTGTATTAAAGTTTAAATCTTCCGGACAAAATTATAAAAGTGCCGGTCAAAGGGCTTCTTTGTTATTTATTGAGCTTTAAAAGAAATTAATAACGAATCCATATAATAATAAAATACACGGAGCCTCTCTTTTTCCTCCCTCTCTTCTGACAGCGTCAGTGTCTGTCTCATGCAGCAGCTGATCCAGTAATGAGTGACCC